TATATATATATATATATATATATATATATATATATATATATATGCGTGCGTGTGTGTGTGCGCGCGCACGCGTGCACGTATGTATATATATATATATATATATATTTAATTACAGGTATTCCAGTATGGGTAGGAAAAGAACTATATACAAGATATGAAAAAGATAACAAACATAAGAGGAATGCTTTTATTGTTGGAGGAGTAACTGCATCTGTAAGTTAAAATTTTTTTTTGTTCATATTTATATAAAATTTATTAATTTTGAAGTGAATATTTTTCTATAAATTATATATTGTCATATATGTTAGATGAATAATATTTTAAAGTAGTATTAATATGATTTTAAAGATATTAATAATGGAATCATTTAGGAATCATGAAAATCATTCATTCAGTCATTCAAGTTCATGACAACATCAAAGTATTATTTATTTATATAGTTTGTACAAAGAAATGGAATAATATAATTATTGCGTATATGAATTACAAGTAACAAAACATCGGTCGTATAGCCGTTTTAGTTTAGTTTGCGGGAAGAAATTTCGTTAAAAAACTTCGAACTTTAAATTAAATAAGTGTTATATTTAACTAATTTAAGAAGAAGAATATTATTCTCGACTTAAATTATTTTATGGCACGTATTGTTAGCAATTCTTTTACATTTTGAGTCGTTTGTATTTTTAAAATTTCATATAATGTTTATTATATGTGTGTGATATTTTGTTTACTTAATTTTCTTACTAAATTGTAGGTGTATATATCGCAAGAACAATCCAATATTGAAATGTTTCCAAACATAAGAATCTAACATCAATTCTATTTTCACCACGTCAATGAATTTTAACGTGACCGATTCCACAATTACATAATTATCAACACACAAGCTTTTTTCGCTTGAAATGAATCACGTTATTCGTAATTATAACGTTAGTAACAGACGGATCGAGTTGTTGAACGATCAGTTCCATAATTTTTTTTTTTTTTCGATTTACATTTCGCATAGAAATATTAATTTGCTGCAGCACTATCATGGGCGGTAATAACGCTGACTAAGAATCATTTTCGCTATTGGCAATTATAGTCTCGTCTGTAAGTACACCTTCATTATGAAGGTCTTTTAAAACATCGATCAAGCGTTGTTCAGTATCTGCATCTCCTAGAGCAACATCTACGGATCCAATACATAATAGGAGAGCGAGAAGTTGCGATCGTCTATAATCCTTATTTAAATTTTCTCTTGTATAGCCTAAATCTTTGGGAATGTCGACACCAAGACGAAAACACGTGCCAGTTAGTGCATCCCAATAAATATCAAGGAAAGTTTCCGTATGCTTTCGACGTAGTTCGGTTGGCAATGAACTCACTAATAACAGAGCAATGTCGTTAGTTGGTCTACTATAAGTAACCATTTGCCAATCTAGGATACAACATTCGAAACCAGAGGGTCCTTCCTTGAAAAGTAAATTATTACACCAAAAGTCTGTATGCGTGATCAACGCTAGCGGGCCTTCTGGTGCAAGAAGTGCAGATATTATATGTTTAGTTCTAGGTCTTAGAATAACTAAGGCCTCAAGTATCGCTTCCAATCCTGGTGTACTTTTTAAAAATTTGGCAAGTTGCGGTAAACCACGTTCAACCAATTGTTGATACGAATTTGTTGCTTTTGCTGTTTGGAAGAGAAATGGATAACGTTCGGACAGAGGCTCTCCTTCTACAACTTTCATTGCCAATGAGTGTGCATGTATACGTGCTATAGCTTCTAATGCAATTTTAGTTTGATCGTATGTCATTCCTTCACGAAATTTAATATTTCGAAAATCAGAATCACGAAGATCTTGTAATACCAAAATTGATTCTGGTTTTGTGGGTTTATCGCCTGATTCATCAGCTGGTGTATAATCTGCAAAGTAGCATACTGGAACTGACAGAAGAATTTCGGTATCCGATTTATTTTCTTGAGATGCTAGTTGTTTCTTTTGAAATTCTTTCAGGTCGGGCATGACCTAATATAAACAAAATACAAATTATTATTATTAGATAGAATAATTGAATATTGATATAACAACACAATAACATATATAGTGCCTCCTTTAGCATCCTAGTCCCTATTAATTCTTGGAAATGGAATTTCGAAACTTCAAATATGTCAAATGAGAAATTGTTGAAAAAAATTTAACATTGATTCACACCCATCTTCTTTTTCGCTTAAATTGAATTCGCAAATTACTTATTTAGATGAACATTTGAATTCGGTACTATCTTGTCGGATGCTAAAACGAGCACTGCTATATTAATTAATCGCTTACCTGTGTATAAAATTTAATTTCCCGAAGATCGAATTGGCCTTCGATAACAAAGAAACGATTTATCGGATCTCTTGGAAGCTCTTTCACGATTACGGACAAATCTTGCGTAGTATTCGTGTCGTTCAACATATACTTGATTTTAAGACGCATAATATCACTGAGCGCGCTTTCATTACTCGTACAGCCGGGACTTACGTTACATTCGCTTATTGTGACCTGTGTACATGACGGGTTAATTTGCAAGCAATTCAAGAATACTTGATACGTCACATTTTTTTAAATGGGTTGCATTGCTAATAAAGCATTTATTTAGGCTGTTTAAATTGATGTAAAAAAAAAATTCTTACAGACAACTGTTAGCTGTAAATCATAGTTTATATACCGAAAAACTAACCGGTTCTTTGTGAAATTCCTTTAGGACACCACCGAGCCACTCCTTGTTAAATTCTATCTGATTCTGCTCCTCTCCGCAGGAAGATTCTTCTGTATCTTCCCAATCCCAATCGGTGTCTTCCCAATCCCAATTCGCCATAGTTTCGTTTCTTCTGTCTCGCTCTCTCTCTTCTCTCTCTCTCTCTCTCTCTCTCTCTGTCTGTCTGTCTCTTTTCCTCTTCCTTTTTTTTCTTTTTCCTTTGTTTATTCTATTAGTATTAATGACGGTTAACAACTATCAATGATGGCCGTGTTGAAAGAAAACAGGGAAAAAAAACAGATGAGAGAGAGAGAGAAAGAAAGTGTATGTGTATCGTGCTTGTGACGTTTTGCGTGCTATTGTCCCCAATCAATGCCAATAAACGACATATACACTCCTATGAACGATATACATGCAGAACGTCCGCCTATTTGACTGTTCACATCTGAGTTTGTCGTGTGTAAGTATGGGAAGACTTGATGAAATCACTAATAAACGAATGGATTCGTCGCGTGTCCCTTCTACTTCCTGTTACGCCGACCGGAACGTTCGGGCCGGCGTAGTTCGACGTTTTCTCATCGGGGCTCACAGTGTCCACAGCACGACACACCCTTGGCGCAGAGCACCAACCGACTTCCCCAACGTTCTATTCGTCGGACCGTTTATGATCGTAGCGTAGTGTGGATCTTAAAGTACCGACTGACACGATGCACGTTCCATCGTCAGCCACCTAGGTGGATGCAGGCCGCAGGGTGGGACAGAGAGAGGATTTCCCATGCGCGCACTCCTACCGTCGATCAATATCCTTCCTTCCGCACCTCCCGCACCTTTTGCTCACCATGCACTTTCTCTGTCTCCTGTTTTGCTGTCTCACGTTCCTTTCCACGCTCGATGGAAATCTAGAAAACGGATCGCCGTGTGCCAGTAATCTTTCAGCTCATCATGACAAGTTACACGGCTGGCCGAGATATATTTATTTCAACCGCCAACCTCTCCCTTCGATTTTGCTTGATATTTTTATTTTGCTGCTTTCGTTCTTTTTTTGGACACATTGAAGACTGTTCCAGAAGTTGTCGCATTTTCAAATTGATACGCGTGCAATTATTTAAAAAAAAAAAATGCTAAGTCGAAGTAATTAAGATATTACATATTTTAAATAATTCAACTGAATATATTAAATACGTAAAAAATTCCTTAATTACTACTAGTTTTTCCTTCTAAAAAGAATTAATTTTAAAGAAAAATATAGTTTTTAATTTCACTGTACGCCCTGCAACATGAAACTACGATGGCTCGTAGTTATAAAATTTGCAATATTTTTATTATTAATTGTTTCACGTTTCAATATATATAATATTTACCTACTTCATTATTATCTTTGATTGAATAATTATAAATTTCTACTTTAAAATTTGAATTTTTGTAAGATTAATAAAAATATTGTTCCTAATTTAGAATCATCATTTCAGGTTTTAGTTTCGCCCATATTAGCTGGATTGGCCGTAGGTATTGGCGTACCAATTTTATTATTTTACGTTTATGGTGTAGTCCCCGTTTCTCTTTGTCGAAGTGGAGGTTGTGGTGTTTCAACGAATGGTACAGGTGTAAGATTTGATTTCGATGACGAAAATGAACTTATGGGTTCTCTGAGTGTTCGCAATGGTGGTGGTAAATATATAATTCAAATTGATCTTAAATGTTAGATTAAATAAAAAGAAGAAAAAAAAAACATAATTCTTATTATCGTAGATGCAGCATCGATTGATGTTGCGAGTCATCGTGGCGGTAATCCTTCGATAGGAGAAGCTTCACTTTCATTAGGCAGTGGTAGTCATTTGGAAAAATTAGGTCGTGAAAACGATCGTGAGAGTGCCAGTAATGTAGCCGTTGCTGGTACTAGCCTTGCAGGAAGTATAGCTTCTAGTGTTCTTCCAGGAGGTCAAAGGTAAAAAATATATATATATATATTTTTCATTTATATAATTTGCAATTATTAAAAACGTGTATATATTTATATCTAAAATTAGATTGGAAGTTCAAGCAGATGTGACATCTACTCAACGCTTCAGTTTGTGTAGTGAAACAGCGTCTGCCGCAACCAGTTTATCAGAGAAATCTGTAAACGCATCTATTGCATTGGATGATGGCGCAGCTTCCACGAGAGCTTTAGCAGGCTCTGTTCTAAATTTTAAAGTATTTGAATTTTTATTGCAATAGAAAAAAATTAATCTTTTTATCATCATGAAAATTTAAACGTATTTATTGTTTAGATGGATGGAAGTTCAATTAGCGGTGGCAGAAGTACCGAAGGAGAACAAGGAACAAGCTCTATTGCAGGAGGTCATATGGACTCGGCAGGTCAAGCTACATCTTTGAGTTCTCTCGAAGAAGTAGCACCTGGTTTAGCAAAACGTGCTCGACGTAAGCCAACGTTAGATCGCCAATGTAGTGATTCCAGTAATTGGACCGTTTGTGGAGAAGACGAAGGTTCTGAACGTGTCCGATTCGATGATCATGTTAGTTTCATCGAAGCGGATCAAGAAGGAATTATTAGCACGTGTGGAGTGAATAATCGAACTTCTGGAAGACGTAAACGTAACAAAGAGATAGAACAAGACACAAATGCTCAAAAGAGTACAAAGTACGAAAGAATTTAATTGATTGAAATTAGAAAATTTGACGATTAATTTTACGATTATTAATTATAATATTTATTTACTTTTAGCAAAAGTTCTAATGGCGAATCGAAGGCTGACTCTTTGACGGAAGATAACGTATCATGGGAACGGGTTAACGTCGCCGCTTTGAGAAATGTTTTCTTTTATAATTCTACAACTTCTACAGATCGGGAAAAGCGATTATCGGTGATAGAAGAACCATTTCCTGTCATGGTACAGAACAACGGTGCACGTTTCTTGACATCTTCCGACAAAGGATGTAGTATAAATAATGTAGAAGAAGATTTACGCTCTTAAAAGAAAAAAGACTGAGCATTTATGTAATATGTGCGTCCTTTAAATACGAAATACGTAGATAGATGCGTATTCACATATGTGTGTATATATGTATTTAAATGTACACTGCGTGCGTGGAATAATGCCGAATTTACTATATTTATGCACACCATGTATACATGTTATGAATGCAATAGAGGGAACAAATGAAATCTATCTTTGCATGGCAAAGTACATCGAAGTAAGTAATATGTGCGTTCATATTTTAGAAATGCGTGCGTATAAATATATGTCATGTACGTATGTGTGTATAGCTATATATATACTCACAGGCCTCAAATTTGTTACAAAAAAGTTACAAATTAATTTAATACAGATTTTTCTTCTATGTCAACGTTTGTCTTTTGGGCATAGGCGAATATTATTATACGCGAAAAATTTTGTTCTCGTATTCAAAACGCAATATTCATAAATAGAAGTATCGAATCCTTTAAAATTTTTCTACGATAAAGCTCTGCAACAAAATTAAAATTTTCATGCGATATGACATATACGTATAAAATAACTGTATGTAACAAGAAAAAGTTATAAAGCTTTACAGTTGCATTTTATGTCGAACAACAATTATTATTTTCTTTGTATGATACATTTCTCCATTTCGATCATATTTCCAGCTGTACAAGTATCGTAAAAACCTTTGTACATGAACATTTTCTAAATGTTATCCCTTGGTGAAAATATAAAATAATTTATGTATCTGAAGGCAATGAACATGTCTTGACAGAGAATGTTACAATGTTTTAGGAGAAGAAATTAAGAAATATTATAAAAAAGGTATAGTAGTTTATTATCTTAAATTTATATTTATTTATTATTAACACCAGTGATTTATATATACTAATTTCAGGTGCTTTGTTAGGCATATCAAAAACTTTGATTTGATTTTCTTGCCGATATATTCATATTGTAATGCTAATGAAAAATGACTAACAATCATAGTAAGAAACATTGTAATCATATTTTAATAATTTTACGTTTTATTTCACT